CACTGCTGAGAACAGCAGCAAGGGGAGGCAACTTGCTGGCTGATTTCTGGAGGCCTCCTACGTTCAGAGAACAGCAGGGACTGAAGTGGAGAAAGTGGCTTCCAGTACATACTGTTCTACAATTTGCTTCCTTTTCCTTAACAAAATGTCGGGAATATTGTGCCCTACTGTACATATTGCTGTACTGTGTTCTAACTAACTGCTGCATAATATTCCACTGTATGCCTAGTTTAGTTTCCTGGACCCTAGAGAGTGACACTTCCAATTTCCGGCTATTACAAATAATGCTGGCATTCACAACCATGCAAAAGCTCCGCAGATCCGTCTTCTCGCTGCATAGTTGGAAAAGTTTCTTGCGGAAGGATCACGTAAGAAAACCAGGGGGCAACATAGCCACTATTAATCCAAAGGTTGCAAGACCTGTGATTTTTTTTTTCTTTTTAAAATTTCCTTCCGAGAAAAAGCGGCGGCTCCGGGCTCCAGCTAACCGACAATAAAATAAAATAAAATTCATGGGGTGTGGTGGTGCAAGCCTGTAATCGAAGCACTCGCGAAGCTGAGGCAGGTGGATCGTCGAGTTCAAGGAGGCTTGACCCTGTATCAAAATAAATAGAAAAAAATTCCCCTAAATCAAAAGCAACCCAAACCTGGGACCCCCGAGTCCCGAAAAGCTGGCGTGTGTTTTTAAGACGCACGGGCTGCTCTGCTCCAAGTCGCTCGAGGTCGGCGGGATTCAGCCGGAACTCCACTTCCCAGCATGCACCGCGCGCTCCGCCCCGCCCCCGTTAAAGAGCCCGCTCCGCGAGCGCCGGCGCCGCAGGTACGTGGTCGGTTGGGCTCCCCGCGCCCCATCGGGTACCCCGCGGCACGCACCGGGGCTCACAGGGAAGAGTCTCGGGGGCTCTGCTAGCGCCACGAGTGCCCGCTTGCCGCCGGGGACTTCCGCCACCCCGCCTCCCCTTGCTCGGCCTGGGCGATTCGGCTCAGAGCGAGCCCCGGGGAAGTGGCAGTGGACACCTGGGACACAGGGACTTGCAGCTCAGCTCTAAGACAGCTGGGGCTCTGGATGCCGGTGCTGCTCTGGCTTTGCTCCTCCTTCCTCCGGCTGCCTTCTCCCTCAGTTTACCCCACCGGGGTTTCTCATTATGCACGAATTTCAACTGATTTTATTCCCAATCAACTTTATTCTTCTTGTTTGCAGAAGGTGTCAAATCAGTCCACCTTTTTCCTTTTTTCTTCCCCTTCCTTTCTTTTCCTTCCTTCCTCCCCTCCTCTCCCTTCCTTTCTTCTTTCCTTTTTAGGACTGGGACTTTGCACTTACAAAGCAGGGGCTCTACCACTTGAGCCCCTCAGCCAGCCCTGTTTTGTGAAGCACCAGCACCCGACTTTTTTTTTTTTTTTTTTGTGGGTGTGTGCCAAAATGTGCACACTCTGCCTAGCCCACCTCTTTTCAAAAAAAAGTATATATAAATCCGGGCATAGAGGTACATGGCTGTAATCCCAGCACTAAGGAGGGAGCTGGAGGCCAGCCTGGCCTACAATGGTGAGACCCTGTTCCAAAAAACAACCAACCTCCCCTTCAAAAAAACAAACATACAAACCCCAAAAAGCATATGAGGAGGTTTATTCTTTTATTCAGTCTCTGACTCCCCACCCTATCCTCAGTGACATTAAAAAATATTTCATTTCGTAGTTGGGAGCATAGCTCAGGGTTAGGAATGCGTGACAGCCATGGGTTTTGATCACCTGGATTGAAAAAAATTACATTTGATCTTGGAGGATGAAGTTCTGTTGAAAGTGGGCAGAACGTTGAATAATTAGGAACCTGTATTCTAAGGCGTTAGCCACACCTCCAATCCATTTTGCTGGTTTTTTTTTTTTCAGTTCTGAGGTTTGAACTCAGGGCCTCAAGCTCGCTAGGTAGGCTCTCTACCACTTGAGCCAGCTTTTTGTGTGTATGTGTTGGGTATTTTTGAGATAGGGTCTCAATATTTATTTATTTATTTATTTTTTTGCCCAAGCTAACCTTTAACTGTGATCCTCCTGTTTTGTTTCCCATGTTATTCCCAAGTGAGCCTCTGGCACCCAGCTGCTCTGGTTATTTTGGAGGTGGGGTCTCAACAAACTATTTGCTGGGGGTGGCCTGGAGCCTTGGATTCTCCTGATCTCCACTTCCCAAGTAGCTGAGATTACAGCTGTAAGCCAGTGAGCCTGGCCTTTTTTAATTTTTGCCATGCTGGGGATTGATTCCCCGGCCTTCACATTCTGGGCAAGTGCCCTACTACTGTGCTACATTCCCTAATAATGTCTTAACTGTGGGAGAGAGTGTGAGCTCAGCCCTACCTCCACTTCATGGTCACCTTGTATTTGATTAGGCTTTGTCAAATTAAGTAGCAAATACACATTGAACACTTCAAATATTTTTTTTTCTTTTCCTCTTATTTATTTATTTGTTTATTTATTTATTTATTTGCTGTGCTGGGGATCAAGACCTAGGGTCTTGTGCATGCCAAGCAAGTGATCTACCACTGAACTACATCCCCAGTGCTCCTATTTTTTTCCAGCCCTACAAGGTAAATTGAGTATAATAGGAAAAAGAATGGACTCTGGAGAAACCAACGTGTTTGGCTCACTTTCTGTGTCTCAGTTTCATCCTTAAGGATAAAGTTGCTTTTTTTTTTTTTTCAGTACTGGGGCTTGAAGTCAGGGCCTACACCTTGAGCCACTCCACCAGCTCTTTCTTTGGTGATGGGTTTTTCAAAATAGGGTGTTACAAACTATTTGCCCAGGTTTGCTTGGAACCATGACCCTCCTGATCTTTGCCTCCTGAGTAGCTAGGATTATAGATGTGAGCTATCATGCCTGGCAGGATAAAGATGCTTTCCAGCATTAAATTAGAGATTCTCTCTCTCTCTCTTTTTACTTGGTGCATGCTATGCACCGTTGAACTACACTCCCCAGCCCCATATTGTTGGTTCTTACAGTGTTTTTTCATTTGAGGTTGCCAAGAAGGCATGATGATATGTTCCCCATGTCAGTTCAGGTCCTTGGAGAAGCCATCTCCAAGATGGGGTTAGGTTTGCCAGAGTTTCTTGTTTGTTGGGGGAAGGAAAAAAGGGGCAAGGGGCTGGAGCAGCTGGAGGAGCTGTCAGCCTGCTATCCAGGTCTGCCTGTTGTGAAGGAGCCCTGGAAGGAGGGAGGGAGGGGCAGGAAGGCAGTTTGGCTGGAGAGTGCTAGAGTTCAAGTTGCCTGTCAGAGGAGTCTAGAATCTTGCAAGAGTGGGTCAGCCTCAGTAATTGGTTGGGAGTAGTTGGAAGCTTCCAAATAAGCAAGGTGGTGGATTCAGAGTGAAGCAGCTTGGGGTACCTGTCAGTTACTCTCCCTGCCTCAGGAGACCTGGGAGGGTTCAGGTGCCTAAGGCAAAGCAGTGGATTGGCAGCCACACTGCAGTCCCAAGGCCAGGTGCTAAAGGAAAGCCTTTGTCCTAAGGTGCCTAGTCAGATTCTTTAGGTGGATTTCCCTTCTGTAGGAACAGAACAATTTCTGTTACTCTGCTGAGGCCTTTCCCGGAAGCTGGGAGGTGCGTAGGAGTTGCTAAGTGGTGGTGTCTTGTCAGCTGTAACTGTAGGCTTGGTAGCCATAACTGAGTCTGGCATAAGAAGAGACTGTCACCAAAGTTCTGGTGTCCTGCTGGCTTTTGATTGGGGCCTGAAGTGACTGCTGGATGCATGCTTGGGGCACATTTTGGATGGTGGCAAGTGGCTTCTCTTGGCTGTCTCTCCCTATGCTAAACTTTGGGAGCTGGAGAGTGGGCTGCCTTGTGTGTGGGACAGCAGCAGAGCCCCTCTAGAGGCAAATGTTAGCACCCTCTTAAGGCCTTATCTATACATGATCTCAGGAGGTCTGGGCTCTGGAGGCAGATTGGTTCCCTTATCTGGCAGCAGAATTAGCTTTGGCCTTAATATCTCAGAATCTGACAATGTCCTGGAGGAGGATGGCTAACAGGTTAGGTACAGTCTGTTCTGGTTCCCAGAATGTGGAAGGGGAGGTCCTGAGTGTCTTGAGTCTCCATGCTCCTCTAGCCAGCTGGTGTCTGTCTCACAGCTCAGTGTGTGCTTTGACTTCCCCACAGCTACCATCTCCTCCAGGGAGTCCCCTCAGCCTAAGGAGCCTGGGAGGTTAGAAGTTCTGCCCCTTTTCCCTTCCCTGGCTCACAGCTCATTATCGAGTGATGAGGGACTGCTGGTACAGAAAGGGCTGTCCCTTATTTTAGGACCCAAGATCAACCCTGTCTTACTCCCCTCACTTTGTTTTCTCAAGTCTGCTCCTCCAGGAAATTGCATGTGCACATTTTAGAAAGTCAAAGACACACCATATAAGCTAGAATTCCCATTTCTGGTATCTACCTAGAGTCATGAAATGTGGCATTCATTCAAACCTGTACCTGAAGGTATATGACAGCTCTATTCTCAAAGCCCAAAATGAGAGAGTCAAACCACCCTTCAATGGATGAACAGAAGAAAAGACCATGGTACCTCCACTTCAGGGAATACTGTTTAGCAGAAAAAGGATCTGGCTATTGGTGTATGCAACAATCTGGATGTATATCGGAGGCATTGTATTGGAGGAAGGGCATTGTGTTGGGGCTCAAACCCAGTGCTTTGAGCAGTCTAGGCAGGCGATCTACCACTTGAACCATTCCCCCATCCCCAACTGACATTTATGAAAAGACTAACCCATAAATGAAGAACAGATCAATACTTGTCAGGAGTGAGGAATGGAGGAGAGTTTGTCTAAAAAGCCACATAGAAGACTGGCAGAGGGCTCAAGTGGCAGTGCATCTGCCACTAGTAGCAAGTGTGATGCTCCGAGTTCAAACCTCAGCAGCGTAAAAAAAAAAATCTATGCTTGTATTAAAATTCATAGAACTTCATACCAGAAATTTTAGAGTATGACAACTTTAAAAAATATTCACATATACTCATACTCTGCTGCCTCAGGAACACCATCCATTTTCGCCAGAATGGAGCAGTCAAAGGGGGTTGATTGGACAGTCATCATCCTGACATGCCAGTACAAGGACAGTGTTCAGGTCTTTCAGAAAGGTAGGTGAACACTACACCTGCCTTTTAACCAGAGTGTCCCATTCCCTTCCTTTGCTAGAACCCTACAGCCCCCAGGAGCTTGGTAGACCTAGGTTGAAATCCAGACGCCTTCCTGCTTGTGACTTCATACATGCCATGCCACTTTATTGTGCCTGAGTTTTCTTATCTGTAAAATAGGAGTGATAATAGTACTTACTCCCAGAGTTGGATAAAGATCTAACTAGCTACTGTAGGAAAAGCTAAGTCAAAGAAGTCAAAAAAAGACTATTAGTAGGCTTACTCAGATCCTTTGCACCAGGGCAGGTGGCTGGGGAGGGGTTGGTGTCCCAGCATACCTTCTGAACACAACAGAGCTGGAGGTACGACAGAGGCGGGAGCAGATCCCTGCTGGCACACTGTTGCTGGCTGTGGAGGACCCTGAGATGCGTGTGGGCAGTGGAGGAGCCACCCTCAATGCACTGCTGGTGGCTGCTGAACACCTGAGTGCCCGCGCAGGCTTCACCGTGAGTGCTCCCAAGCTACCACCTCTCTGGTCCTTGTCCTTGTTGGTTCCAGAGAGTTTCCAAGATTCCTGGCTCTTCTGGCTCCATTGCCCCTGGCTGGTTGGGCATTTGGTTTGTGGTTTGGAATCTGTAGGTTGAGCAGACTCATATCTGACATGCCATCCAGGTGAGGATGGAAAGCTTTTGTAGTATTTTTAGAAAGTTGTGAGACTGTCTGGCCTCTTCCAACTTCCAAAGCTCTTCCAACTTTGGGCTCTCACTCCCACATAGCACCTGTTCACTGGAACTGAAATGTGGCTTCTCCTTTGGGCAGAACATGTGAGTCAGTATCCCCACTGGGCTGTATCCCACACCCCCCGCCCCCAGCTACTTCACGCAGCCCCTTGTCTGTATATCACCCTGGTATGGAGAGTGAGGATGGGCACAGGCATAGCCATGCTTTGGCAGTTGAATAAGGAATAGGCAAAGGATGGCAATACTGTGTGGTTCCTATGGAGCTGACACCCCTTCTAGTCACCCAGCTGGCCTATAATTGTTGCCAATAATCTCCCATCACACAGGGCAGGGAGGTGACGCAAGTAGAGGGCTGCTGGGCTCCCTTATTCAGAACAGGCCTCGGCTGCCTCTTGCCTGCCTGTGGCCATTGGTCTTGACCTTGCCTTTTGACTTTTTGAAACATGAGTGAATTTGTGTTGGGGGTTCCTCCTTGGACTAGAGGGTTCCATAATCCAGGTGCCATCTTCCTAAGGCCTCTGTCAACAGGGCTGTCCTTCTCCTGACAGGTGGTCACATCTGATGTCCTTCACTCAGCCTGGATCTTCATCTTACACATGGTAAGTGAAATCTGGGGCATGGGTCTTAAAGAGTTTGGAAACCTGGTTCTCAGGATTGTGTGGGACTTTTGGGGTGTTCTACCTTTGTGTGCATCAAAGTGTTCATTGTGCAAATCCAGAAGAATCAGAATTAATCTAAATGTCTAAAAACTGGGTACTGGGTAGGTATATATAGCATATAATCCTGGTGAAATATTGGACAGATTAAAAGGCCCATCTAGGCCAGACATGGGGGCTCATGCCTGGCTATTTATAATCCTAGCTATTTGGGAGGTTGAGATCAGGAGAATTACAGTTCGAGCCCAGCTTGGACAAATAGTTTGAGAGAACCTATCTCCAAAATAACCAGAGCGAAATGGACTGGAGGGGTGGCTTAAGTGGTAGAGCGCCTGCTTTGCAATTGTGAAGCCCTGAGTTCAAACCCAACCCCAATCTCTCTACCAAAAAGAAAAGCCCATCTTTCTCTATCTGTGTGCATTAACCTGGAATGAGGCTTATCATCTCATTGACCTTGGCAAGTCACTAGGCTCTTTCTAGGCCTCAGTTTCCTCATCTGTAAAATGAAGATGGCAGCAGTTCCTACTTCATGCAGATGTAGATGGGGACATGGATATGCTGAGACGATGCATGTGAATTCTTGAAACAGGGCCAGGCTCACTTTAAGTGCTCAGTGAAATGTATTTTCATTGTTAAGTGAAAAGGGCTGGGGACAGAAGTTTGTATAGAATGATCTCACTTATTTTTTTTTGGTGTTACTGGAGTTTGAGTTCAGGGCTCTGTGGTTGCTAGGCAGGCACTCTACTGCTTGAGCTATGCCGCCAGTCCTTTTTGCTCTGGTTATGTTGGAGAAAGGCTCTCGTTTTTTGCTCAGGAGGGCCTGAACCACGATCCTCCTATTTTGTGCTTCCTACTGCCACTGGGATGACAGGTATGTACTACCACGCCCAGCCTTTTTCCATTGAGATGGGGTCTTGCAAACTTTTTTGCCCAAGTTGGCCTGGAGCCATGATGTTCCCAATCTCAGCCTCCCAATATCTTGGAATGATAGGTGCACACCACCTTACTGATTGAGATGGGGTTTCTTGAACACTTTTGGCCACGATCCTCTCATCTCCACCTACTGAGTAGCTAGGATTATAGGCATGACCACTGCATCCAGCTGAGATAACATTTTTTTATATATCCTCTACTTAATGCCTGTCACCCTTGCACAGCTGTGAGGTGTCCCAGTTTCTCTGCCCTAAGGGCTCCCTCACTAATCCCTGCTCCCACTCCAGGGCCGAGACTTCCCCTTCGATGACTGTGGCAGGGCCTTCACCTGCCTTCCTGTGGAGAACCCCCAAGCTCCTGTGGAGGCCTTGGTTTGCAACCTAGACTGCTTGCTGGACGTCATGACCCATCGAGTGAGTGGCCCTGGGGGCCTAATCTCAGAGACACTTCTCCCCTATTGCACCACCAGATAGGGTCTGTGCTGGCTCGGATGGGAGACCCCAGGAAGAGTGGTTTTTGGGGCGCTCAGTTAGTTAGAGCCAAGAAATTAGTCTTGGCCACCTTTGGGGAAGGTGTGGTTCCATGGGGTCAGAGGGGTGGGTCAGCATCATATCACTGGTCTTCAGAAGGCCCTAGCACTTCAGCAGAGGAGACCCTTTGGATGAGTTGGCTGCTAGAGCATTAGGAACAAGTGACATGGGGATGAGGGAAAGAAGGAAAGGCTGGGCCAGGCCACCAGCTGTGTTCTCTCTTTCACTCTGTCCCCTGCAGCTGGGCCCAGGCTCCCCACCAGGTGTATGGGTCTGCAGTACTGACATGCTGCTGTCTGTTCCTCCAAACCTTGGTGAGCTTGAATTGGCATGGGACCACCTTCCTTTGTCATAGCTTGGGCTGGCTTGGGCTTTCTAGCCCACCTGGTCTCTTGGCTGCCCCAGTGTTCTATTCAAAAGGGAGTCAGAGGGTATGGAGAATAAAGCCCAGACCAAGAGTCAGGCCTTGTCCTGCTGGATCTCAGTTTGTCTGTCTGTTCAATGAGTATAACTGTCCTGCCCCTTCCCCCTATAAATTTTTGTCGTTGTCATTCTCTCCTCTGGAAGGATGACTTTGGAATGGCTCTGGAAAACATTTTTGCCTTTTAGAGGTGCCTGAATACCTTATCCCTGGGCTTTTGCCTCCTCATGGCTGGGACTCCCTGCCTTGGGTTGGGGCCCCTGAGAGCCTTCTGACTGCATCACCCCACAGGCATCAGCTGGGATGACTTCCGGGGAGCCAGAGTGATTGCTTTTCCAGGGAGCCCAACCTATGCTATGAATCATGGTGTCTACCTCACTGACTCACAGGTAGTGCCCCTGGTTGCAGCTGAGCAGGCCTGGGACTGGGATTGGCCTTCCAGTACTGTGTTGTAGACAACCTCTTGATCTGAATTTTCCCATGTTGTTGTGAGATAGAAATTCCCTCTGTGGCAGCATCCCTGGTGCTTACTTACTTCTTTGCCAGAAATGTGTTTCATACTGACTGCATGCCAGGCTTTGCTCAGGCTTAGAGGCTGTGATGACAACTAAAGCCTGCCTTAACCTTCTGGAGTACATCTTGTGTCCTCATCAATATGCTGGTACCTGCCAGACTTGCATTCTTAAGTTTTTACTTGGAAAACACTTGCTAACACCTATGGCTGTGCCCACCTTCTAGGAATAAAAGAGATTTTATTCCCTTCCCTAATTCTGTTGTCTCCCCACATAGGGCTTTGTTTTGGACATTTACTACCAGGGCACTGAGGCAGAGATACAGCGGTGTGTCAGGCCTGATGGACGAGTGCCATTGGTATGTCTCTTGGGCATGGGTTGTGGGGTGGTTTTGGGGACCTTTTGGGACAGGGGAGGGAGAGTTTCTCTTGTTTCTTGAGGGAGGAGTCCCACTCCCTCCAGAAGATCCTAGCTAGAACAAGAATCGGAGAGAGGTCTGCACTTGGCATTCAGGGGTACCGCTGGAGTCAGAATCTGAGGAAGGGTTAGCCTTAGAATTAAGGCTCTGGCCTTGAACCAGAAAGTCTAGAACCAGAATGTGAGCAAGTCAGGGAATACCGTTAGCAGGAGGTACAGAACCAGTTTTGAAAAGATGCTTCCAGGATAAAGGTCAATGATGGAAGTGTTGGGAAAGGGTCTGAGCCTGGACTGTGGGGAAAGTGAAGAATGGGGTTGGGAGGAGGCCTGAGGTTGAGGGGAGTCCCAGAAGTGAGGAGAGTCCCAGAAGGTGCCTTGGTGGGAGCTGTTTCAAGTAAGCCTGGAGTCTGGGTGCTGAGAGGCTCAGAAGACTGACGTCCCTGCCTGGTATGGCACCTGGTCTTGCTTGTCCCATCTACATGTGCCCTCCTCAATTCATGCCTCAGCTGTTCCCAGGGTCCCCTTCCTGACCCTTGTGGACTCCTCCAGGTCTCTGGGGTTGTCTTCTTCTCTGTGGAGACTGCTGAACATCTCCTGGCCACCCACGTGAGCCCACCCCTGGATGCCTGCACCTACATGGGCTTGGACTCTGGAGCTCGGCCTGTCCAGGTGACTGGGGGGAGAGTGACTGGGGCACTCTGACTGGAAGTGAGCTTCTGCGTGATCTCAGGGTAGTTTTTTTCCCTCCCTTTGGGTCAGAATCTCTGCAGATGGGACTGCCCTGGCTTGGCCTTACAGCTGTAGGGCCCAGCTGCTGCTCCCCCAGTAACTACCTTCCCCTTTCTCCCCAGCTGTCTCTGTTTTTTGACATCTTGCTCTGCATGGCTCGGAGTGTGAGCAGGGAGGACTTCCTGGCTGGGCGGCCCCCAGAGATGGGGCAAGGTGACACAGATGTAGCAAGTTATCTGAAGGGTGCCCGGGCCCAGCTGTGGAGAGAGCTTCGCGATCAGCCCCTTACCATGGGTGAGTGTTGCCTGTTGGCTCTGTGGGTGGGGAGACCATTGGAGTGAGGACCTCCATGAGGAGATCTCCCCTGCATTCTGGACCAGGGGCCCAATTACCCTCTCCCCATCCAGAGCCCTCCTGCTGAGACACCTATCTCTCCTCCCATCTGCCTCTTGTCTCTTTTCTGGGCTCCAATCTCAGTCTGCCCACTTGCTAGCTGTGGGGCTTTGGGTAGGGTGATGACCCTCTAGACCTCAGCTTTCCCACTGGTCCAACCGGCTCACTGCCATGCCTTCCCTCCTAGTGTCTGATAAGGGTATGTCTGCTGGTAGGACATACCCTCATCCCTGGCCTGGCACCAAAGCTGTAGCAGGCATAGGGTTGGGGTCAATACTTGTATCTTTACAGTGTATGTTCCTGATGGCAGCTACAGCTACATGACATCCTCAGCCAGTGAGTTCCTGCATAGCCACACGCTGCCTGGGGCCCCTGGGCCCCAGATCATTCACTCTCAGGTGGAGGTGAGACTTGCCTGCCCCTCAGAGGTGACTGGGATCAGGATGTAGGCTCCAGGGAAGGGAATAGGTCATGCTTGGAACAGATTACCTGAGTGCAGGTGTGATTGTTCCCATTTTATACACAACACACTGGAGGTTAGAGAGGCTAAGTAACTTACCCAAGGCCACAGAGCAAATAAGAGGCCAAGTTAGGATTTTCCTTCAAGGTCTCCCTGATTGAGAACTGAGGAAGACCTTTTGCAGAGAGAAGCACATGTGGGGTTGAGGAATGGGGCAGCTAGGGTTCAGGGGTGGCCCTTGGGTGGTGGGGGTAGCTGGATAGGTAGAATGAGGAACAGGCCTCAGGCTGGAGCCAGGACAGGTTGAGAGAAGGATCTGGCTGGCTGAAGGTCGCAGGGAGCAGCAGGCCTCAATGCTTCACATGCAGATACTTGGGTGTGGGGGAAGAATTGGGGCAGCTACTTGCCCTTGACCCTTAGCCCTCATGATCTTTTCTGGCTTCACAGGAGCCACAGCTCCTGGGGGCTGGATGCTCCGTGATCAGCTGCCTTCTGGAGGGTCCTGTGCACCTGGGGCCTGGTAGTGTTCTGCAGCACTGCCACCTGCGGGTGAGGCATAACAGCTCAGGCAGAGGGAGGGGAGGCAAAGGCAGTGATGTTCTTTTTGGGTGTGGGTGGGGGCCGGGGCAGGTACCTGCCCATCCAGTATGCCTGTCTTCTTTCTGCCAGGGCCCCATTTACATTGACACCGGTTGCTTCTTGAGTGGCTTGGACATAGCCCAGTGTGAGGCACTGCATGGCTTGAAGCTGTGTGATGTTGTCCTGCAGGGACACCACGTGCGGCTACATGGCTCCCTGAGCCGAGCCTTCACCCTCGTTGGTCGTCTGGACAGCTGGGAAGTAGGCACCTGCCTAACATGCCCTCACTCCCATTTTCAAGCTTTGGGGAGCCCCCCCAGGGATCTCTCTTCCACAGCACACCACCTTGAGGACTGGCCTGGGGGATAGCCTATGGGAGGTGTGGCCTGTAGTCTCAATAGGTTTTTGCCTCCCTCTTCTCTGCTCTTAGAGGTGGGCTGGGTGGGGATTTTTATCCCCATTTTATAAACTAGAGACAGGTTTAGAGAGGGAAGTGGCCCAGCCTGGGTCCCAGAGACAGTTACAGTGGATCAAACCTGGAACCCAGGATTCTGCTGTAAATTCCAGGCACCCAGGCAGAAGTGTTAAGTAGTTTCAGAACCTGCTGGAGTATGGGCCTACCTCTTTCAGTCCCAGCTGGAGGAGCTGCTCCCTGCCCTCTGGCCTGGTGTCCTTTATTCCTTCCCATGACTGGTGCAGCCTTGACTGCTTCCTCTTCTTCCCCCAGAGACAGGGGGCAGGCACATACCTCAACATATCATGGAGTGAATTCTTCAAGAAGACAGGCATTCGGTAAGCCGGATGCCCTGGCAGGCCTGTGTGGGCCTACGCAGCCAGTGTGGGCTCTTCTGTGAGGCTTATCCTTTCCCCTACCCCAGAGCAGCCTTGCCAGTCACCCTTACAGTCCTACCATGCCTGGGGTAGTTGGGAGACCACTGGGTTCTCTCTAGCACTTTTACTCTGGGCAACTCCAAAGCACTGGCTGTGCTGATTTGGGGATTTTTGTTTAGTGACCTGGGAAAGGTGGCAGGGCAGTGTGGCCACCTCCTCCAAATTGCTCATTTGTGCTGCCTCTGGAGTTCTGTCCCCATGAATTCACAAGCTGGTTAGAGCTTGGGAGGAGGTGGGAGCCTTGACTTCTTTCCCACTAATATTCTCTGCCCTTCAGAGACTGGGACCTGTGGGACCCAGACACACTCCCTACAGAGCGTTGCCTTCTGAGTGCTCGCCTCTTCCCTGTGCTGCACCCCTCGAGGGCCCTGGGGCCCCAGGACATGCTATGGATGTTGGACCCCCAGGAGGATGGTGGCAAGGCCCTCAAGGCCTGGCGAGCCTCCTGGCGCCTATCCTGGGAGCAGCTACAGCCACACCTGGACCGGGCTGCCACCCTAGCCTCCCGTCGGGACCTGTTCTTCTGCCAGGCCCTGCAAAAGGCAAGGCATGTGTTGGAGGCCCGGCAGGACCTCTGCCTTCGGCCGCTGATCCGGGCTGCTGTCCGAGAAGGCTGCCCTGGGCTCCTGCTGACCACGCTGGATCAGGGTGAGTGTGCTGGGCATTAGTGCTAGGGAGTCAGACCATGGTCAGGACCCACTCAGCCTGTTGAAGGGACTAGGGAGCCATGTGACGAGGGCAACAGAGAGACACACTGGAGTTTACTTTGGGTATCTGGAGAGCTTCATCCCTGTCAGCAGAGGGTCTGGCAGGAGTTGTGGGCTGGCTGCTGAGCCTCTGGGTCCACAATATCCACAAACCTGCGTGCTCTGTACCAAGTGCGAGGACGTGGGTGCAGAGCTCCAGGAGGGCTGTGGGGCAGTTGGGCTGCTCTACCTGAGGTCCCACACCGGCTGGAGCTTCAGAGTATTAGTCTCGGAGGCTGAATCTCATCAGTGGTCCTGCAGAACATTGGAACTGTAGAACAATGTCCCTATTTAAGTCACTCACCCAGAGCCACAAAGCTAGAAGAGACTGAGACTTGAACCCGGGTGGTTTGACTGTGAGCCTGAGCTCTTAACCATTATGGTGTCCTGGGTGGGGGTGATGGGGCACATTTCAACTGGGGATAGCAGGATGAGAACTTTTCTGGAAAGAAAGTGGGATGCATTCATAGGGAGGGGTACATTTTAGGCAGAAGCTAGGAGGGGTGAGGGGTCTGAAGCATTTGGGAACTGTTGAGTAGTCTTTGGGGACAGAGGTTGTTGGGAGGCCAGTCCCCTTCCCTGACTCCCCTAATTCCTGGTCCCTCAGTTGCAGCTGGGGCGGGAAACCCTGGTGTGGCAGCCCGGGCTCTGGCCTGTGTGGCCGACGTACTGGGCTGCATGGCAGAGGGCCAGGGAGGCTTGCGGAGTGGGCCGGCTGCCAACCCTGAGTGGATGCGGCCCTTCTCATACCTGGAGTGTGGAGACCTGGCAGGAGGTGTGGAGGCACTTGCCCAGGAGAGGGACAAGTGGCTGAGCAGGTGGGTGCTAATCAACGTCAGAGCCCTTTGAGAAACTATCCAGGGATGTAGTCCCTGATGGTGGAAGCCCAGGGCATTCCAGTCCTCCAAATTGGACAGTTTGCCCCCAGCTTGGGGCTCCTGCTGCCATTTGTCTTCCCTCCTGGCAGGCCAGCCTTGCTGGTGCGAGCTGCCCGCCACTACGAGGGGGCTGGGCAGATTCTGATCCGCCAGGCTGTGATGACAGCCCAGCATTTTGTCTCCACGGAGCCAGTGGACTTGCCAGCACCTGGGCAGTGGGTGGTGGCTGAGTGCCCAGCCCGTGTAGATTTCTCTGGTGAGCCCCTTGTGTGGTTGGGGATGTGGGTAACTTCTCCAGGGCCAGGCCATCAGGCTCTATGAATAGCTTGTAAAAATGCCTTAGGAGGCTGGAGTGACACGCCACCCATTGCCTATGAGTTTGGCGGGGCAGTGTTGGGTTTGGCTGTGAGAGTGGATGGCCGCCGGCCCATCGGGGCCAGGGCACGCCGTATCCTGGAGCCTGAGTTGTGGCTGGCAGTGGGGCCTCGACAGGAAGAGATGGCCATGAAGATAGTATGCCGGAGCCTGGACGACCTGCAGGATTACTGCCAGCCTCATTCCCCAGGTCAGGACACTCCAGGATATCTGCTTGTGGGAATGGCATACATAGTCAGCTGGAATGGGGGCAGAACCTGGAGATCCCTCCATGGACAACTGCAGGTCATGGGGACCTGACCTGAGGGCCAGCAAGTGTGTGGATGAGGAGTCCCAAAGGAAAGGAAGGGCTAGAATTCATCTTGTCTAGGCACCTACAGGCACAGAAAAAAGCAGTGACACATTTGCCTATGTTAAGGAACCTGGATGCCCTTTTGTGATTTGAGGATGAGGCCTGCACTGCTACTGGGCTTTTGTCCCACCACATGAGTCCCATCCTGAGCTGGGAAGTTACAGGGAGAGTGGGCTGTCTGAATGGTGTGAGGAGACCAAATTGCTTGCTTTATGCCCATCTCTCCACAGGGGCCCTGCTGAAGGCAGCGTTTATCTGTGCGGGGATTGTGCACATTCGCTCTGAACTCTCTCTGTGTGAACAGCTGCTGCATACCTTTGGGGGTGGCTTTGAGCTGCACACCTGGTCTGAGCTGCCCCATGGCTCTGGTCTTGGTGAGTGGATCCTGGCCCCCTGTTGCTCACCTATTCTTCTGCAGCTTTTCACTTTCACTTGTGATCCCCTTCCCTGGCCTCAGTGCAGTATAGAGGGAGTGGGGCAGGACTGGGCTTGGCAGAGATGGTTCATGCCTGGTACCCTCCTCCATGCCCTGCAGGCACCAGCAGCATCCTGGCAGGTGCTGCTCTGGCTGCCTTGCAGCGGGTTGCAGGCCGGGCAGTGGGCACGGAGGCTCTGATCCACGCAGTGCTGCATCTGGAGCAGGTGCTCACCACAGGTATGAGATGGCCCGGGGTGGGGAGTGATCTCTGGCACTTTCCCAAGGGCTGTGGGGGGCTTCCCTGGATTTGCATGGGATTCCCAGGAACCATATAATTGTGCTTCTTACCACTTTGACTTCTAGTAGTTTTCAACTTGAAAAGTTCTCCCTTGAAGCAGGTAATGTTTTTTGACTACCTACTGAATGCCAGAAGCTGCTGCACCTTTCATGTGCATTGGGTACCTGTTGGTACCAGGTACTAGTCTTTTTTATTCTGCCCCCCATCCAGGCTGTTTTTCAGAGCTTGTGGGGCAGAGCTGGGTTTGGATTAGAGGATGGATCTTAAACCTGTCCTTCTGGTGACTTGCCTCTCCCTTGGGCTGTGATCATCTGTACCCCCTCACTGCTCCTTGGCCATATGGTAGGGCAGTAAGGACTCAGCCAAAGCTGTGATCTAATGGGATATTTCTGGTGCCAGGCTTCTCAGTTCCTGGCAACTGTGGCACCTTACAATCTGAGCACAATGTAGAGCAGCCAGCGATTTGTCTGGTTCCAGATTCTAGTGTGTTCAGTTCACCCCCCCAGGGCTTGTCTTCAGCATGACTCTAGAAGGAAACTGCCACAAAGGTGCCTGATTATGGTGTCTACTCCCATCCCTTTGCAGCCCAGGTCCCTTCCTTCACAATGACCCATACCCCATAATAGGTAGTCATTTACAAAAGGGTTAGCTGAGGGGAGGCTTTTTTAGTTTCCTTTTGAGGTAAGTTATTGATTTGGTCAACTAAGCCATTTATTGGTAATCCACTCTGTTGGGTCCTGGGGATAAAATGAGCCTAAGTAGGGTCCTTACCCTCAAAAGTAGTCATAGGGTGTAAGGAAGATAGACATTAATGAATGGTCACTTAAATAAGTATTGTTTCAAACTGTGACAAGTACTCTGATGGAGAGGGATACATACACCTAAGGAGTTCTTGACATTTCTAGTCTACCCCTATATGTTGGCTGTAAAGTTCTATATGCCTCTTGCCATTTGCATTCTGTATTTTAAATCCTTGCAATCCCTTTCCCAGACATCAAGGTTTTGTCCCAGAAGCAATTCATTTTGTCTTATTTATGCTGGGGCTTGAACCCAATGCCTTGGGCATGCTAGACAAGTGCTGTACCACTGAGGCTACAACTCAATCCCTATTTATTTATTTACTTATTTTATTATTTTTTTGGTGGTACTGGGGTTTGAACAGGGCATCATGCTTGCTAGGCAGGCACGCTACCACTTGAGCCAGTCCTGTTTTGTGTTGGATATTTTTGAGATAGGGTTTCATGAACTATTTTCCTGGGCTGGCTTTGAAGAATTGTAATTCTCCTGATCTCTGCCTCCTGATTAGCTAGGAGTATAGGAATGGGCCACCAGTACCTGGCTCCTATTTATTTATTTTTGAAATGGGGTCTCACTATGTTATCCAGGCTGGCCTTGAACTCCTGGGCTCAAGTGTTCCTTCTGCCTTAGCCTTCCAAGTAGCTGAGACTACATATGTGTACCACCATACCCAGCTTTGTCACTTTTATCAGTGACAGTTAGGGCAGACTCTTTTTTTTTTTTAAATGGTACTGGGTTTGAACTCAGTGCCTTGCACTTGCTAGGTAGGTATTCTACCACTTGAGCCATTCCCCAGCCTTTTTTTTTTTGAGATAGGGTCTCATTATATAGCCTAGGCTGTCCTTGAACTTATGATCCTCCAGCCTCTGCCTCCTGAGTTCTAGGACTACAAATGTGTGCTACCACCTCTGCTTTGTCATTTTTACATAGATATAAGGAGAAAAGGGCCATCCCTTTTCATTACTAAGGCAAGATGTATATAGCTCTTTTCCAGTTAAATAAGATAAAAATGAGAGATGCTGAAAAGCTTATTTTCAACATAAGCTTATTTCAACTGAGAAGAAATAAGCTTCTTGCTGCAACTCCCTTATGAGGGGAGAAGTTAACATACAATCCTTCTTTGATGTGGTTTATCCCAATTTCCAATTTCAGATTTTGTCTTCAAGGCATTTTAGGTCTTGTTAATTCCAAGGTTGGCCCCAGATTGTGGCCCCTTTCCTTTGCTGGGATAGACCTGCTTCCAGGTCTGGGGACAGAAGCTGCATAGCTCACCTGTCCCAGCTAGAGTTGGGGGAAGCTATTTTACCATTCTGGTCCTAGCCAGAGGTACAGGGCTATAAGCCTTGGCTGGGAGAGTGAAGTTGGTCAGATAGGGTCTAACAGTGATAGCGTCCTGGACTTCTAGGAGGCGGCTGGCAGGACCAGGTGGGTGGCCTAATGCCTGGCATCAAAGTGGGGCGCTCCCGGGCCCAGCTACCACTAAAGGTGGAGGTGGAGGAGATCACTGTGCCTCAGGGCTTTGTCCAGACACTCAATGACCACTTGCTCCTGGTGTACACTGGGAAGACCCGCCTGGCCCGGAATCTGTTGCAGGTGAGTCCAGCTCCAAATGAAGGCAGATGGCTCAGCTGGGACTGATCCTCATTGCACCTCTTCTGCCCCATCTGCAGGATGTACTGAGGAGCTGGTATGCCCGGCTGCCTGCTGTGGTGCAGAATGCCCACGCTCTCGTACAGCAGACGGAGGAATGCATTGAAGCCTTCCACCAAGGTGAGGTGCTTCTTTTACCAGAAATCAGGTCATCTGGAGTGAGTGCCTTGTCATTTGTTGGTCTCAGAGGCCAGGAGCTATTGCAGGTTTGGCACAAGCTCCAGATAGTAGGCTGCTGGGGATCTTCTGTCATCTCCCTGATCTACTTAGATAGGGTCTCAGGGCAAAACTTGCCTCATGAGAAAGGTCCTCCAGCCCCACCTACTGGGCGTGGGGGGGAGACGCTCCACCCTGTGTTTAAGTTGCAGGGAAGTTGAATTTGGAGCTGGCTCCAGGTGTGTATGCCTTTTTTTTTTTTTTGGTACTGGGGTTTGAACTCATGCTTCCTAGGCAGGCACTCTTACTGCTTAAGCCACTCCACCAGCATGCAGTTTTTTTGAATACTGACAGTTTTGGACACCATGTCAGTTGCTTTGTGCACATTAGTCCTCAACCCTGTGCAGTGGGCTTTATTATTCCTGTTTCCAGCCAGCAGTGAACCTGGGCTAACCCTGACACTGCTCTCTGAATGGGTGTCAAGTATCTTGGCCCAGGCCATTCCTTTCTGCCCCGACCCCAGGAAGTCTGCCTCTGCTGGGCCAGTACCTGTCCTCCTACTGGCAGCAGAAGAAACTCATGGCTCCAGGCTGTGAACCCTTGGCAGTGCGGCGAATGATGGATGTCCTGGCTCCCTACGTGCATGGCCAGAGCCTGGCAGGGGCAGGTGGCGGGGGCTTTCTCTATCTGTTGACCAAGGAACCACGGCAAAAAGAGGCTCTAGAGGCTGTGCTGGCCAAGACTGAGGTACGTGATGGTGCTGGGGTTGGTAGCTGGTGGGGGTAAAAGACCTCGGGGTGGTCTGCTAACTCACCAGGGGTATGTCTGCAAGTCCTTTTGGTCATGCTGCCTCAGTCCAGCCTCCAGAAGGCCTAAGAATTACCCAGATCCCTCTAAACACCTCTGTCCTATCCAGGGCCTCGGCAAGTACAGCATCCACTTGGTGGAAGTGGACACTCAAGGTCTGAGTCTGCAGCTGCTGCGGAGTGAGGCTTCCACCTGACACCTATCTCAATGATGCTGGGCGCTCTGAAGCAGTTACAGCTTCTCTTCTTCTGCAGGAACTCTCAGCTCTCAGCCTGCTGTTCCCCACCCATCTCCAAGTCTGCTCCCAAAGGAACCAAGAGTCAGGCAAGAGAGGCAGTGCTTGGGGACAGGACTACACCTCATGACTGGCAGTGGCTGAGATTTGGCTTCTGCTCCATGTGGGTTGAGGAAGGTCCTAAGCTCAGTCTCATGTGCGGCTCTTACAAGTCCCATGGCTCAGTTTAGGCCTTGGCTGTCTCACTCTCCAGAGGGCCTTGGAAGGGGATGACAACCAGATGTATCAGGGGGTCCCTTGCTAAGACTGACCCTACAGAGGCCCTTTGAGGCATTTCCTGTGGCCTGATGTAGAGTTACAGTTTTCATGTTCAGTCCTTACTCCTTAGCCTTCCTGGGAGAGTGAGATGAGGGCAAGGCTCCATCCCTAGGTCTGTGACAGTGAGCCAGTGCAGTCCTTACAGCAAGTCCCTGCCAACGCAGGCCTTAACCAGCAACACTACCAACAGTGTCAAGTGACTCACCGACCCTGTGGGCAATGGGTTTTTAAGACTGACATTCTTGGAATAAATTCACTCTACCCTTCAGGGTTGTCCTTAGAAAACTTTGTTTTTGCTGGGAATGGTTCCATTTCTCCTGGTATTGTGGGAAGATTCCCCAGCTTCTAGTACTGAGGGCCCATCCAGGATTGGATGAGGGCTCCTGCTGTCATACTGGGTTGTAGATGTGGTGTGGAAGGAGAAACTGAGGCCTTCAGCATTTGCCTTCATGGTTCAGTGCCACGTGGTAGACCTATCCTGCCCCAGAGTGGCCAGCCCTCCCTGGAACCAGCACACTAAGATCTCTCCAAGCAGTATCTTTATTTTGATGTGTAGTCATAAAACATCACAGCTTCTCTTTGAAGTCAAACCTAACTCCCAAGTTCCCAGATACACCAAATTCTCCAAGGCTGGCAGGGGCAGTGGGATGCTGTAGTGTGTGAGGGTGAGAGGATGACTACCCACACAGAAGGCTAGCTGGGTGCATGCTGCTTGTCTTGGTTCTCCCACTTCTCTCAGTGCCACTCAGCGAGGTCTGAGGACAGAGTGTGGGGTGAGGCCAGACATTTTCTGGCTGTCAGCTTCCCCAAGCCAGATAGCCTCATGCAGCTCCTTGGCTGCAACTTCAATAGGCCCTGAAGTTTGATAGACCAGATGGGTAGCTATAGGCGTAGCCTCTTAATGTCCTCGTTGCGGAAGTCTATACGCAGAGCCAGCACCTGGCGCACTTCAGCAGGGGTGAGGCGCCATGTCAAGGGTCCAGAGTTGGCACCCCAGTAATCTAGGATCTCTGTCACCTAGAGAGAACAGAGAAACCAGTCAGCATGGCAGGGGCTATCCTGAGGGAAGGCCTTGAGCTCCACCAAGGCAAAGGGGTACTTGGGAAAGGGAAAGTGGCCTGCAGGACTGGGCTGCTAGCAGGCATGAAGGAGTGGCTGGGTTCAAATTTTGCCTTTCCTCTTTCCAGTCACCTTTCCCTGGCTAGGATGAAGGAGCCTCACATACCCGCTCCAAATTGAGGATTGTGGCCATCTGGGAGAGCCGGGCAAACTTGTCTCGGATGGTCCAAGTTGTCACTGTGGTAAGATAAGCAATGAGTGACCTCAGCTCCTTGTCAAACTGCAGACCGCCCAGCTGCAAGAGAACACAGCCTTAGGCATGGCCTGTGACCAAGCAGAGCTAGCATTCAATTGCTCTCAGAACTGGGAGGCAAGACCAACTGGGGCTCAGGTGGCACCAAGGGTCTAGTTTGTTCTAGTGCCTCAGAAGCCAGGGCAGATATACAGGACCTGCAGGTAGCAGAGGGAACACAAATCTGGGGTGGCATGACCTGTCTTCCTCATAGGAAAGGAGGAGAGCCGTGGGCCCATGACCCTTTGAACTTACCCGGTTGAAGGTAGATTTCAGCACCACTTTCTCCAACTCAATGGCAACAAGGTTGGTCATGAGGCCAGTCAGGCTGTCATAGATGACTGGGGACAGGCTGGCCTGCACAGAGGCTTGACATCAGTGGGAATTCCACCAAGCCCCTCTGTCTCTACACTGGTCTTCAGGGAGACAGGGCAATTACATGAGGCCATGGGGGAGTGTTTCCAAGGTTGGAGCTTGGTAGAACTTTTGGAGTCTATAGCAGGAATAATAAGCTGCAGGCTGCTGGTGTGGGCAGACAGGTAATTTTAAAGGCTTCCACTCACCTTGAACTCTGCCATTTGCTGCTCCAGGTTAAGGATGAATTGTTGTACCCAGGGGTCATTGGCCTCATAGTCATTGAATTCTTCCTATTGTCAGGAAGCAAGGGTGTGAGATAGTTTGCCACAGACCTCTTTCTAAGTACCATTCACCCCCACCCACCTCTAATCCTTTAGTGATAGAATCTAAGAGGTCCTTCCTCTCTGTAGCTTCTGACTCCTCAGTTCAAAATCTGCTCAAGCCCCAGGCTGGTGGGAGCTGCTGCTACATCATACTCTACACAGCAAGCAGCCCTTTGATATAGTAGTAGCCCACATACTGGGGCAAGGCTCCTGGCCATTTGTTTCCTCTTGCAGTTCATTTTCTAAAGGTGTGAAATCACTAGGTTAGGGAAAGAAAGCTCCTAAGTTTATGATAGGTGGCACAAAAAGAGCCTCAATAAAGGGATGAATCAGATCAAGGCAGACTCCTTTTACATGTCTCTTTGAGCCTTTCTAACTATAGAAAGCTGTTTCTTCGGAGGAACCTAGTCTTCCTAGTCTTCCATGGGGAGGGAGGTAGGCCTAGTCTACTCAGAAGGCACCACTGTCTTTCATGTGGGGGGTATGGAAGACAAGGGTAAGCCTGGGCTTGATGGCTGCTGTGGTCAGGCTGACCTCCTCGATGTTGTGGGAGACGGAGAGAAAGCTATTGATCCAAGGCTGCACCTGTGGCTTGACTGCTGTGCTGTTGAGCTCTGTCAGCCCTTCCTGCACAAAGACAGGGCAAGGACAATTAGACACATGTCCTACCCCTCCCCTTCTCCTCTTCCATCCTTCCCTTGACTGCAGGGTCCTCTTGTAGGTCTGTGACTTTCTGCAGGCCCTGTGGGGAGCATGATGGTTATCATGCTAATAAAAGTCAGGGATGTCTCCCTTTCCAGATCTATGCAGATTCAGGCTCAGAGATGAGACCCTGAGTTATTCTAGTAAACTCTGCAAAGATTTTACAGTCCTCATGTGGGCAGCACCTGTGGCTAAAATCAGAGTAACAATGTGGTTCATTTCTCTGAGCATCTTTCTGAGGGCTCTTATCATTTTGGGGCCAAGTGGAGATTCTCAATAACCAGACACTACTAGCTTGTTAATGTTGACAACTGTGCTGTTGAAAAACCATCAGGGCCTGTAGTCTCAAAGGATTCACATAATTTCTGTGGTTTGTATGGTACGACCTCCCCCCTTTCCTGTTTCCTTGTACAAAGAAGCCCACATAAGCCCGTTAGCAGTCTCTTCTGAGCAGCACACAGGTGCAGGGTCTGGGTAGCAGGTGAACCTGGAGCTTACCTGCAAGAGATCTCGGAATTTGTTGGACACAGCAGCCAAGTCAGACAGGCAGCTGTCAAACTTGGCCTGGGCCTGCTCCCCTCCAATGCCCTGGCTGAACATCTTGGTGCAATCACTCTAGGGGGGAATATGGCTTTAGATTATTGAACATGCCTACACCATGGGAATGTGAGTAGAGGTAGGGCAGGCCAATATGCAAATGGCCATTTCTCCTGCAGCCTTCTCTGTGAGCAGCTATGGCTTATCCTGGGCCAGAGCTCTGGATGACCTTCTGAAAGCTGCATTCTATTCTGGTGGCTCTCCACTTTGCTTCTACTTCTCCCTTTGTGATATGGGGTACTAGTTTCAGGGGAAGTGAAGAAACACAAATACCACAAATTTCTTTATACCTTTAGAGCCAGACATTTCTAGGTTGAGTGACCTTGAGCAAGTAATTTAGTTTTCAAGCTTCAATTTCCCTGTCTATAAAATGAGAGTACATATTCTTGTTCCCTTGGTGGTTGTGAGTCGCATGAGATGATGCACAAAGTGCTTAGCTCAGTGCTTGACACACAAGAGACACTATTACTGTTATAGTTTCTGCTTCTTAAATATTTTGGTCTGGTTGTAAAAGAGAGGTTGTCATAGCTAAGACTTAAGTACTTACTGTGCGGCAGGCCCTGTTCTAAGCATTTTACTTTTATTAAAGTTCCTATTCTCCTCTAGAAGCACACATACAGGCACATAGAAAAAAACTATCATAAAGAACTTTGAACTTTAAAACTCGGCTTATAAAGTAAGTACTATTATTATTCCTTTTGCACAAATGAGGAAACTGAAGCATAGATAATTTAATAACTTACCAAAGTCACAGCAGTAGGATGTAGAGCTGGGATTCTAGCTCAGGAATTCAGGCTCCAGGGTGCTTGTTCCTAACTACTGCACCATAGGCCAGATGTAGAAAACTCCACAAGGGGTCCTGCTTGAAACTTGGGCTATTTTGGATTGCCTGCAGCTGCCCACTTTTCTTGTAGCATTCCTTAGAAAAGTTTGTGCTGTTTTGGCTATAGCAGAAGCAGTGTGGAAGAGCTGCAAAGGGACTGGTCTATCAGGCAGAAGAGTCAGATTCCCACGGCAGCACGCCCCACTTAGGCCTTAAGCCTTTTTACCTCATCTGGAAATGGGTCTTGGACCTGCCTATCATTATGGGCTGATAATGGGCCAAGGAGGATTATCTGTGAAATGTGAATCTCATTTATGGGAACTGTTGTTTCAGGTTTTTGCTATCTTTCTTTTTTCCAATGTAGCTAATTCTACTGGATTAGTTATGAATTTCTATCATTTCCCAAAATTTTACTTAAGTACCCAACAGACTGATGTTAAGGATGAAGCCAGGAATACAATCTGAAGTGCCATGACTTAGGCCTAGGGATGTAGCTCAGTGGTATAGCACTTGTCTAGCATGCACAAGGCCCTGGATTCAATCCCCAGCACTACAACAATAATGAACAATAAAGTTCCACTACCTAAAAACAATGACAGTCGCCTTGTTAAAAACATGAGGTAACAGACACTATACTATCTGTACATTTGTGAATATCACTTTATTTTATTCCATTTTAAGGCCTTTTTTTTTTTTTTGTGGTACTGGAGATTGAACTCAGGGCCTCATGCTTGCTAGGTAGGCACTGTATTACTTGAGCCACTCTACCAGTCTTAATGGCCTTTTTGGGGTAAATTCCTAACACAGTCCTTCCTTCTTGTTCTCTGAGCCTTTTTCAGGAACCCCATTAACTACAAGGTCTGTGTGCTGGCTCCAGCCTCCTCAGTTTTCTGAGTTCCTACTTCACACCAGCTTGTGCAAACAGCCTTTTGCCTCTGCTGCAAAGCATCCTCTATACTCTGACCTACCAGGGAGGCAGGACTCTAGTCTCCCTCCTTCCTAGGTGCTGATTCTGGGAGTAGGGAAGAATTGGGCACCTCAT